CCCATTGTGACAATGGGGCTGTATATGCAAATGCAGGGAGCTGCACAATTATCCAGTGCCGGGGTCCAGCCTCAGCAGGTCTCAGAGTCCCCGAAGGATGGACAGCACAGGCAATGAATGAAGAGTCAGACACCCGGTTGGATGCCGGAGAACAGCCAGCCTCTGTGGGTCTGACTGAACTCTCAGAGTTTGATTTAAGCTTTATTTTTATAGAGATTGTAACATAATAGGTATATGGCATGACCAATTAAGCAGAAAAGATTAATGCAGACGTAACTAGAAAAAGTACAGGAAATTCCATAGATTGTTATGATAAAGGCTATTTTGACCACGAGAGTCATTAATTAGACAATTAGAACTAGCTATATGTACAGAGCTTTAGATGTCTTATTATTTATTAAAGTTCCTACAATTAGACATGGGGCATTTATTTCTACATGCTTAGTTTGTAATAGTTAATTAGCTTGTCCTTCTTTTATCTGTCTAATTCTACATGATATATATTTTTGTCCAAGGTAGAGGATGGGCTGTTACTCCATCAACTTTTAGATATTCAGGGAATATTTTATTAGGAGGGACTTTGTTCTCTGGCCAAGAAATTATTTTGTATAACTTCATTGGAATTCTGCGGATCATTGGGCCTGAAATACAGGTGTCTAAAAATCCCACCACTTATTAATCACAAAAACAAACATGCAAGGACAGATAGACAGGAAATCCAGCCACAGTTGCCTCTGCTGTGCAGATGCATCTCATTCGTCCTGACTGTGTCAAGGGACGGCTGCTGGTTGGCTCCCAACAATCCAGGGTTTGAATGATCCCTGGATGGAGGTATTTGTGATATCTGGGAAGTATGCTAAGAAAGAGGATGACTGTATCTTGGACGATAGACCTGGGATGAAAAGGAACATTCAGATGACAGGATGTTGAGGTGAATAAGGTAAATTAGCAGTTTATCTTTATCTATATCCAGATTTATGTATCTGTAAATCTGGTTTTGTTATTAAAAACAAAACAAAACAAAACAAAACAAAACATAAGTTTCTCCAAAGTTTAGCCATCTGTAAGTCACTCCAGCCAGTGAACATGCAAGTATCCAACTAGCACAGAGAGCCAAGTGTGTTATTTCTTAAATATTGTCACTCACTGATACAGTGGCTGTTTATATAAATTGCATATTTCTTAAGACTTTATTTATTTATTTTTAGAAAGAGGGAAGGGAAGGTGAAAGAGAGTGAGAGAAACATCAAGGTGTGGTTGCTTCTCTGCACCCCCTACTGAGATGGCCTGCAACCCAGGCATGTGCCCTGACTGGGAATCAAACCAACAATCCTTTGGTTCCCAGTCCAGCACTAAATCCACTGAGCCACACCAGCCAGGGCTATTCTAGGGCTATTTTTTCTTTAAAGATTTACTGTCCCCAGATTTAATAAACATACCCTTGTAATCACCTGGACTTGTGTTGTGAAGTCTTTTCTACATGAAGTCAAGTATTTATTTATTTTTAGAGAGAAGGAGAAAGGGAGAGAAACGTAATGTGTGGTTGCCTCTTTTGTGCCCCCTGCCGAGGACCTGGCCTGCAACCCAGGCATGTGCCCTGATTGGGAATGGAACCTGTGACTCCTTGCTTGTAGTACAGAGTTCAATCCACTGAGCCACACCAGTCAGGGCAAATTGCATATTTCTGAGAAATTTTCTAAAAGTGTGGCTTAAAACAGATGTTATCTAGTGTTAAACATTTCTAAACTGTTTTGGAATTTATATTTATGCATTTCTAAATAGTTAAAGAATTTTAAGTTGGGACTTATTTACTAAAAGGCTCAGAAATTTTAAGAAATGTAAAAAATAGCATGTAAGAAATATGAGACATTGCAAAAGGAATGTTAATGAAACAGAAAAATGTATCAAAGACCAATATTAACATCAATTAATAACAAAGCATTGGAAATGTAAAAAGCATTAAGTACCTTGACAGATAAAACAGAATCAACTGTGTTCCAGCTCTGATTTTTCAACACAAATGGGGGGCAGCAGTGAGAATTAAACATATCAAATAATATACCAAGCAGAGTCAGATATTGTAGCAAAGACAGCTGTTGGCTGTTCCCTAATATTGGTGTCTGTGGTCTTTTAAAATAGAGCCCATGATTTCTAGCAAGACACATGGTTTCCCAGAGAAAGACATTTCCCAATTCTCCTTGTGAGACAGGCCAGTAAGCCAGGACAAGTGTGATAGGGAAACTGAGACAGATAGCTGGACAAAATGGCCAAGCAATTTACAGTCAGACACAGAAGGCCACCTCCCTATAGAGAACATCTAGGCCTCAGTTATATTGCAGCTCCAGGCCCAGAAAACCAGCGAAACCAGGTAAATAACACCAGAACCAGCTGCAGTGACTAACTGCCCCCTGCCTTGGCACTGACCAATCAGTGAAGATCATGACCCTGAAAAAGCACACCTGGAAAACCATTGAATAGTCTGCTGAAACCCTCCCCTGAGACTCTAAAATTTCCTGCCTACAATAAGGAGATAAAAGCCTCAAGACAAAGGACCCAGTGCTTGCTCTCCCTCTGGGGAGCAGCCTGTGCCATTCTCTTCCCCTCTCTTTCCCTCTTTTCTTCCCCAACAGTCACGCACATCCTAAATTCTAATGGCCCCTACTAGACTTGCAATCAGGGAAGCAATAGACAGCAGCAGCTCATCTGAGGCTAATCCCCTGAACCCGTCCCTAAGGCCCCCTTTTCTCTAACTTCCCAGTGAGCTAAGGCAGCCTAGCCTAGGCTCTCTTGGTGCTTTTATGCTAAACTCTTCCTTGTTTTACTGTCCCCAGATTTAATAAACATACCCTTGTAGTCACTTAGACTCATGAAGTCTTTCCTACACGAAATCAAGAACCCACACACTACCAGCTGACCATAGGCAGACACACTTAGGACCAGGCCCCCTCTCCAATCACTTGCAGCTGGTGAAAGCAATATCATCAAATTGTGGACAGTGGGATATTTGTGGAAGTGATGTGTGTGACTTCTGGATTATGCCCTTAAAGAGAAGGTGTCAGTCCTGCCTCCTGCTGGCTGTACTGTGGATGTGGTGGTCAGTCATGTTGGATCGTGACAACAGATTAAATTATCTAGGGATAGTGGAGAAACAAGGTGGAAATCTGACACAGTGCCTCACTCACTGTGTTACCTTTCTACCAGCTTTGGGCTGATTATACCCTGCTGCTTCTATCTTGTTTAAGCCACTGTTGCTTTGATACTGTGTTACAATAGCCAAGCCTATATCCTAATGCACAAGGGTCATATCAAGCACATACTTGTTACAGAGAATATGATCAAGAGTATAGATGGTCAAAAACAGACAATGTCAAATGTTGGCAAATATGTGGAAAAACTGGAATCCTTAAGTAATGCTGCTGTGAATGCAAAATAGAACAGACACAGTTCAGCAGTTTCTAAAAAGTTAAACATATACTTATCATATGACCCAGAAGTTCCATTCTTAGCTATCTACCCAAGAGAAATGAAAACATGTTCACATAAAGACTTACATGTGAATGTTCATAGCTGCATTATTCATCATAGCTAAAAACTCGAAGTAATTAAAATGACCATCAGCTGGGGAATGGATAAACTGTGGTGCATCCATAGAATGGAATACTATTCAACAATAAAAGTGATATTGATATTGAAACACCCATGCAACAAAATGGATGAACCTGAAAAAAATGAGTGAAAGAAGATAGCTAAGACTATATTTATATGATTACATTTATTTAAAATTTCTAGAAAAGGCAAAGCTATAGAGACAGGAAGCAGATCAGTGGTTGCCTGGGGTAGGAGGTAGTAGCAAGGAGTGACTACAACAAACTTGCGCAAAGAATTTTGTGGTGGGGGGAATGGAAGTGTTTTAAAACAGGATTGTGGTGATAATTGCACAATTATGTAAGTTTACTAAATATCATCAAACTATATACTTAAAATCAGTGAATTTTATGGCCTATAAATTATAACTCAATAAAACTGTTTTAAAAAAGTAAAGAGTATAGGTGAGCTGCTAGTGCTCAGAATAAATCACCACCAGTTTTTAGTTTGGGGCACCTCTACATGCTTTTTCATGGAACTTCTTTTGCATCAGAGAGTAACAACAGTAACTGTAAAATACTAGGAATAAATCGAAGACATGGTAGTATTTGAGGAATAACTATTTATATCCACCAGAACAGCATATATTATGCTACCTACAGATGGGATAAGGTACATTCCCTCGAGTCACATGGAATGATATACAGGTAATACTATTCTTTTAGAATGGTTTGAGACTTAACGTGTAAAATTTTTATGGTGAGTATGGTAGATAGTCTCCAGAAACAAACCATGCCTCCCAGTGTAGCCCTTCCACTTGACCTGGGCTGGCCCTATGACTTACTTTTTACCAATAAAATGCTTCAGAAATGATGCTAAGACTAGATCACACAAAGCTGCAGGTTCTCCTCTGGTCTCTTGGAACATAAACATTGGGTGAAGCCAGCCACCATGTAGGAAAGTCTGATTTCCCTGAGACTTCCATACTGTGAGGAAGCCCAAACTAACCACCTAATAACAGAGAGAGACAGAGAAATCCTAGCTTAGGCCGTGACTACGAGGGAAGAAACCATTTTGGACATCCAGCCAAGTTGATCTTTTGACTCCAGGCCCAGCCAATACCTGACTGCAACAACATGATAGATTGCAGATGAGAGCTACCCAGCTGAGCCTGGTTAACTTATAGGTTTGTTTTAAGGCAATACATTTTGGAGTGGTTTTTTACAAAGTGACATAATTTAAATGAGAATAAGGTTGACAAAGACCATAGAAGTTGTATTTTGATTTCTCCAATTTAAAATATAATAAATTTAGTAACTAGACTAAGGGACTTTAATAGAGTTATCTTAATTGCTAGCCACCTTTTATGGAATCTTTGTATAATGTAGAGTTTTTCTTTTTAAAATAATTTTCAGAGACTGCAGACAGAGTGGCATTGTAACAAAGGTGTTTCAGGTGGACTATGAACCACGAAATACAGTCTCTTCAGAAGACATTGTTGAAAATGCTCTTGAAGATTCTTCAAAGCAGGCAAGTAATGAAACTATAACACAAATAGTCACCACACTTTTTTTTTTAACAAGGCTGTCTTTATGTTGGTAAAAAAAATGCTGTATTTCACCTGTAATCATAAACATTATTCCAGTAAAAGAGGTGCATTTGCTTTCCTTTTTGTTTTCTTACATGATCACCATAAGTTAAAATGAAATAGCTCTTACAAAGTCAAAGTAGAAAAGAAATAGAGAGAAACCCAATGTGCCACAGTCTAGACAGATCTGCCCCACACTGCTGGCCTGAGATGGGGGGCACACCCCTCTCCCCACTCCAGTTCCCTTGTCTCCATCCCAACCCCAAGCTTTGCTGAAGGGTAGGTCGCCAAATGATGGAGCTTGATTAGAAGAGAAAGTTGAATAGAAAGTACAAAAGGTGGAGAGGGCTGCCTTTCTCTTTTGTTATCACATTTGGGATTTATTAACACTGTAGTGGGTCCTTCATGGCTGATCCTGATCTAGGCCTTGGTGTTTCAAATCATTGTTAATCAAACTGTGATGTGCTTCTGTCTAATCTGCCCTCTGGTGCTTCTCTTTAGTAGGTTACTTTCTCATTAGGGAAAAAAAATGTTCTAGCTCTGGAATTAACATTGAAGGAGTTTTGCTTGTTCTGAAAGATGATTTTATCCTCCCTTCTCAATCATGCTCTGTTTGGCCTGGTTGACACAGTGCCTGTGCTGGTTGGCCAGAGCAGAGCAGCTGAGTGTCTGCTAGGTGTTCTGGAGGTAAACACTGAAGGATTTTGGCCTGCAGATCCACACAAACTGGATGAATCTCATACCGCTTGAATTTTGCTTCCACCTCTTCAGCACCTTCCTGATATTGTTCAGTGGTGACTTTGTAGAACTCTGAACTCCTCTCCTCCAGTCTAGCCAGCTGGTCTTTGTAGTATGCACCTTTTCTCTTTATTACTCAATCTTTCTCCTCAAGCAGCTTAGCTATGTGCTTTGCCTTAGTGCATTCCTCCTCACTTGATATCTTCTCTCGGAGAATAGCTGTGGTCAACTGCTCATTGGCAACAGCCGTTTTGCAGTCTAGTTCTTTGCCTTGCTTTAGTCATTTCTGATTTTCATATTCTTTCTTGGCTTGCTCCAGTGTCAGCTCTTTTGTTACTCTTCTTTTCAATTCTTCATCAGAAACTGAGGCACCATAAGCACCAGAATACTGCTGAGACTTCAAGCCTGATGGAGAGATATCCTTCATACGATTAGTCACATTTTCTGAAAGCCAACTGTCCTTCACCAGGGTGATGTTCTAGTTCTCATCTGCCTTTAAGGTGACCTGGCAAATGCTGGAGATCACATCCATGGCTTCTTCTGTCCCCACAGAATCCTAGCATGGACCCATGAGCACTTCAGGCCCCGCACACACACCTGAATATGCCCGGCATTTGCCTTGCAGAGCAGGAGTAAGGCCACGACCCCCACACATAGGTTTTTTTAAAGTATATTTTATTGATAATGTTATTACGTTTTTTTCAATTTTTTTCTCTCCTTTATCCCACCTCCACCTGCACTCCCCCTACTCTCCAACACTCCCCCCAACCTTGGCGTTCATGTCCATGGGTTGTGCATATAAGCTCCTCTGTTTCACATACCATTCCAAACATTCCCCTCTCTGTGCTTCTTATTTCCTGTACCTTTATCCACCCCATTCTTCCCCTCCTGCTCCCCACTAATAACTCTCCATGTGATCTCCATTTCTCTGATTATGTTCTTGTTCTAGTTGTTTGCTTAGTTTTTGGTTTTGTTTTTAGGTTCAGTTGTTTATAGTTACGGGTTTATTGTCATTTTACTGTTCATAGTTTTTTATCTTCTATTTCTTAAGTCCCTTTAACATTTCATACAATAAGGAGTTGGTAGTGATGAACTCCTTTAATTTGACTTTATCTAGGAAGCACTTTACCTGCCCTTCCATTCTAAATGAAAGCTTTGCTAGACAGAGTAATCTTGGATATAGGACCTTGACTTTCATGACTTCAAATACTTCTTTCCAGTCCCTTCTTGCCTGTAAGATTTCTTTTGAGAAATCAGCTGTCTTGGCGTACCTGTTTTGTTGTAAGGGGGCAGAGCGTTAGGTGTTTGCCAGGGTAGAGCAACCCTCTTTGCTATGTCGTGGTGCTGTCTGTGGGGGAGGAGTCAGAAAGGGAACAATTCTGCTCACTTACTCCTCTCTAGCCTCACTTTCCAACAAATTGTCCTATGAGACTGAGAGTTTCTCCCACTCTCTCAATCCCCACATTATTTTACAGCTAGCTTTGAGTCTTTAGTTTCACATTCAGCCAGCCCCACCTTGCCCCCGCAGTCCCTGCCTGGGTGCCTGTCTCCCATCTCCTCCCTACCTACCAGTCTGGGCGAATGTTTCTTTAACTCCTTGGTTATCAGAGATTCACACAGTTCGACTTTCTGGCAGTTCTGGTTGTTTATTGTTTTTTTAATTTAATTATTTTTCAAGTTATTGTTTTTTAAATATATTTTATTGATTGTGCAATTACAGTTATCCCATTTCCCCCTTCATTCTCCTCCACCCTGCACACCCCTCCCCCACCATTCCCCCCCTTCAGTTTATGACCACCTGTCTCAAGTTCTTTAGATTCTATATTTCCTATATTATTCTTGCCCTCCCACCATCTATTTTCTACCTACTGTCTATGCTACTTATTTTCTGTATCTTCCCCCCCTTCTCCTTCTCCCAGTCCCCTGTTGCTAACCCTCCATGTGATCTTCATTTCTATGGTTCACTCCTGATCTAGCTGTCCTCTTAGTTTGCTTTTGTTTTAGGTGTGGTTGTTAATAACTGTGAGTTTGCTGTCCTTTTACTGTTCATATTTTTTATCTTCTTTTTCTTAAGTCCCTTTAACATTTCATATAATAAGGGCTTGGAGATGATGAACTTCTTGAATTTGACCTTATCTGAGAAGCACTTGATCTGCCCTTCCATTCTAAATGAAAGCTTTGCTGGATAGAGCAATCTTGGATGTAGGTCCTTGTCTCTCATGACTTGGAATACTTCTTTGCAGCCCCTTCTTGCCTGTAAAGTGTCTTTTGAGGAAGCAGCTGACAGTCTGATAGGAACTCCTTTCTAGGTGACTGTCCCCTTATCTCTTGCTGCTTCTAGGATTCTCTCCTTCATTTTAGTCTTGGGTAATATAATGATGATGTGCCTTGGTGTGTTCCTTCTTGGGTCCAACTTCTTTGGGACTCTTCTGAGCTTCCTGGACTGACTGGAAGTCTATTTCCTTTGCCAGATTGGGGAAGTTCTCCTTTATAATTTGTTCAAATAAGTTTTCCACTTGTGGCTGTTCCTCTTCCCCTTCTGGTACCCCTATAATTCAGATGTTGGAATGTTTAAACATGTCCTGAAGGTTCCTAAGCCTCTCCTCATGTTTTTGAATTCTTGTTTCTTCATCCTTTTCTGTTTGGTCATTTTTCTTTTCCTTTTGGTCCACTCCTTTGATTTGAGTCCCAGTTTCTTTTCCATTACTATTGGTTTCCTGTGTGTTTCCCTTCATTTCAATTAGTTTAGCCTTCATATGTTCCTCTAATTTTTGAATCAACCAGTTCTGTGAGCATCCTGATCACCAGTGTTTTGAGCTGTACATGTGAATGTTTGGCTATTTCTTTGTCGCTTAGATTTATTGGCTCTGGGGCTCTGAGTTGTTCTTGAGCCATGTTTTGATCTGTTCGTGCCTGTTACATATGAGGAGCGGAGCCTTAGGTGTTCACCAGGGTGGGGCCACACAGGTCACTGGTTTGTGATGCTGTATGTGGTGGCAGGGTCAGAGAGGGACACAAGTGGTCCCCTCTGCCGCTTTCCGCCACTGGGGCCTGCTCGGTCCATCTCATTGCTTGCTCCTTCACTGGTTTATCTGCGCGCGAATATGTGACCGTGGTCAGCACTCAGTGGGTCCGCCCGCTACTACTCCACACCTGGGATCCGCCCACGGCTGCTGGCATGCCTGGGCCATGTGCCCGGGTCGGTCCAGTGGATCTTTTCTGCCAGATCCCACTCTGCTGCTGGCTCTGCCCGTCTTTACTGGTTTGGTTGAAGGGTTTGTTGTTGTCAGACTTCCATATAGTTCAATTTTCTGTGGTTTGGCTGTGTGTTTTTTGCTGAAACTTTGTTGTTTTTAAACTGGTTGTGCAAGGAGGCACAGTGTGTCCACCTATGCCTCCATCTTGGCAAAAGTCCCTGTTTATTGTTTTTAAATTAGTTGTTATCCTTCTTTTGGTTGTGCGAGTAAGGGAAGTGTTTCTACATATGCCTCCATCCTGGCCAGATCTCAGTCACCACATTCTTGAATCCTTCTTTTTCACTGGTCACATCTTCCCTTTCATTTCAATACCACAGTCATTCTACCCACAGTCAGGTTCTTATAATTGAGGCCATTATCAGCCATTGCAAAGTATCTTTGCTCATTTCCCCACAGGATCAGCCTTTCTTCCACCCTGCACCTCAGAAATTCCCACCCATGATCACTGCTCATACTCTGAGTGTCCTCAATGACTTCCCTTTACTTAGTGAAGAACAAGAAACCTTTAGCCTGGCATCTTAAATGATCAGTTTCTGTCCCTAGTTATCCTTTCTTGCTTTGTGACTCCCCTGTATATTCCAGCTAAACTAAACTGTGTTTTTCTGTGTTCAGTCACTGTTCTCCTAGCACCCAAGCCTTTTCCTTTTATACAGTGCTTTGAATATGTGATTACTTTGCTTCTTGTCTATCATCTCCTTACACTGTAAGTTGCAAAGTGGATGAGAGCATGTCTTCCATACTCAATACCTTGCACAGGAGCAGGTAGGAAAGGGCAGTGAGTGTATATTTGTTGAGCAGATGCACCAGACTAGGAGAGAAGCCCTCAGTGGGCATAGCCTTAAGTTATGTTGAAATCTTCATTCCCAAATAGCTGCAGAGCCTCACTGTGGAGAGTAAACTAGACCTATCTAAAAAGGACATTTGAAACTTCAATCCCTGGGCTGTGAATATCAGTGAAATAGATCCAAGGGTAAGACGGTGGCCCAACCCACAATAATGCAACCAGTTAAAAAGTCTATCACACGGGTCTTTTGGGGGGTGACTTGAAGTTTTCTGGGGAGTCTCTTTAGCCCAAGTGGACCAGAGGCCAGAGAGGAGGCTATAGGACCAAAGCTGTGGGTGTAGGCAGAGTGCAGAGCTCAAGTATGATCACTAAAGGGTTCTACACTGGGCAGGGGCAGGCAGCAGAAACAGCTTATTATGTGTCAGCAGGTGCTCAGGCTTAATCAGGCATAAGGGACTGAATCCATGGAGCAAGTACGGAGAGGAGTGTTAAGGACTGCATGTGGGCAGTTAGTGTATGTAAGTCCTATCTTGGTCTGATCCCCACCCTCTCTCTGCCTTCTGGATCTGGTGGTCCCTCTATTACTACTCAGACTCCTGTGATAACAACATCCTGCCTACATGTCATGCTACCTGCCTCTCATCTTGGCCGCTTGACCTGGTAAGGCCTACCAACCAGATACACTGCCAACCAGGCAGCACAGGTACAAGGCTGTGTGTTTCCAGAGTGAGAGGAAGCAGAGTTCACTTTGCAAAAATCTACTGTAAATCCTTTCAAGGAAGAAGAACACACTATGACACTGCCTCTACCATGTAACGTTTAATGTTCACATTCTGTGAACCTAATTAAGTGACTGACATGAAATTTTTTCATTCCTAGGAATTGAAAAATGGATTTTTTGGATCAAAACTAAGGAAGAAATCTAAGAATGCTGAAAATAAACTGGGCTGGAATGTAAAACTTAGAAAGTTTCTAGGTATGACATGAAAGAATGAAAATGACATTTAGTATTCTAAACCCCAAACAGGTTCACAGCTTATTTTGTCTGCAGAAGGGTTGGAATAAAATAAGCTATAATTTGAGTTGTAGTGCTATTTTAGCTAATGGCTTATCCACAAGAGCTAATCCAACAGTCCACCAAAGTCAAGTTATGATTCATTGCAATAAGGGGGTCCATATGCCAGAGGACCCATGGGGTATATCACCAAATAAAAGAAGAGATAGTGGAGGGCTTGGTGGGGGAGGGTGGTTTCATGTAAATGTAAGCAGAGTGTTTGAAAGGTTCAAAGCACAGCAGGCTGTGTGTGAAGTGGTCACCATCAGCTATGGACTGCATAACGGAATCAGTGTTCTGCTACCTTGGAAACAACAAAGATAAATATGGCTGTTGTGCTTAGAAATTCTTCTCTGAAGCTCTACACCAGAGTTGGAAATTAAAGATGCTTGTCTATGTCAAAGTGACTTAGGTTCTCAGGCAAGTGTCAGATGTTTCATTCTTATAGATATTATTTGAAACAGTAGTTTCTGAACATCTGATTTTTTAGAGAACATGGTTTCTTGGCAAGTAAGAAACCTTGGTCACTCAAAGTGGGAGTGGGTGCTGTTAGGACATTTTACTGCTGTAGTCTGTCCTGGGGAGATATATTTTCTGATGAAGTTGCAGTTGGATTTATCTATTTTGCCAGCGTGATGTGAAATGTTCTGGAATGTAGCAGGGCAAATTTTAATTTTCTCAGTCTGGGCTAATTTTTTTTTCTTTCTCAGTGCTAGTTCAACTGAGTGAGAGCATCTTTACTTGATTACTACTTTAGGGAAAGAATGTGATGACAGTGGTCCCTTACGTAAAGTTTTCCAATTAGTAAGACATGTTTACGTGATTATATATATAATTACAAATATTCACAGAATAATGTTTTTGATGTAATTGTAGACCTCGAGGTAGGTGAAAGAAGTGAACCTAAAACATTGAAAGATCTTCGCTTCTCAGACAGTCCCCTGGAAATCCCAGCTTCCCGTGAACAGTCAAGTTCTAGACCACCCACCCACCAGTCCCAGGTAACTGCTAAAGAAAATCTTAACAGTACCACATACCTACTGTCTTTTTAATGTTTCCCATGAACTATTTTAATTAAGGAAGTGTTTCCTAGCCTTTTCGCCATGTTCCAAAACTGGGAATACTGTGCTTGACTAGAAATTCTCTTGTCCTCATGAAGCTTACATTTTATTGAGGGGTGGGGGTAGGAAGAGAATAAATATGTAAATAATGAAACAAAAATTTTTAAATTGTGATAAGTATCATGAAAAAGATACACTGGGTCATGGGATAGAGAAGTGGTTCTCAAAGGGGACCTCACACTCCAGTAGTACAAATATCACCTGGGAGTTTATCAGAAATGCAAATCCTCAGGCCCCACTTCACACCTACTTAATTAGGGACTCTGGAGGTGGGCCCACTAATCTGTTTTATTTAGCCCTTCTCTGATGCACATTCAGGTCTGAGAAACCCTGGGAGAGAGAATGACCATGAAGGAAGAAGTGTGTTCTAATTCAGGATATTAGGAGAGGGTATTCTTGAAAAGGTGATATTTGAATTGAACCTTCAAGATGAAGAGGAGCCAGCCCTGCAAACCTCTTGGCAGCAGTAACAACAAGTACACCAAAGTAGGGATTTGTTGCCAAACAAAAGTGGGGTTCAGTTGCCACCCATAGGCAAATTCCGAAGGCAGAAGTTTGGTGAGAAAAGGAAAGAGGTCTTTTATTCAAAAGCTTCCAATCTGAGAGGATAGCATGCTCCTGCTTCAGAGCCCAAGCCCTCCAAGCACCCAGAGGAAAACCCAGCCACCTCCTGCCAGACCAGTCCAAGGCTGTGCCTGGAGTTCCTTCTACCATTCAAAATACTATCCTTTGGGAATTGCAGGCAGCCACTGAGTCCCGCTCCAAGCAGCTCAGCTTCTCTTCCTGCTGTGGGCCTCAGACTCCCTTGTTTTCAGAGCCACCACTGACCATACAGCTTCCAGGGTCAGCCAGTCCCTTAAGCCCCAGCCTCCACATCCATGAAGTGGGTCCAGAAATATTGAGTGCATTTCTCCCTTCCCTCAGTTTATATTTCCCAGCCCACACTTCTGTGTACTGCAAGAGTGCCCATGCACCCTAGCCAATCCTGTCTTTTTCTTAGACTGACAGGACAGCACCTCCCTCTGCTGCCATGTTGACCTCTAGGTCACATGCAGCTCTGTTCTCTGGGACTGAAAAGGAGTGGGAAGGTTTTTAACCTTACCCGAATACTTCACTTGCCTGACCATCACTCAGTGCCTCAGTGCAGTGACCTCTTCCGGCCACATCTTCATGGGGTGGGGGTGGGGGCGGAAGTTGGGGAGGGGCAGGAATTGCTGTCACACACCATTTAGCTTGTTACCCAGACAGTGAGGCTTCACTCACACTGCTCTGGGCCCTTTCTGCAGCTCTTCCCTCACTCAGGGCACCTGTCAGGTTAAACTGATAACAGATTGCAGGGAGGCTGGTGTGGACAGCAAGGTAGGAGGTGAAGGGGAGTGGTAGACTGGGCCAGAGCATGGAGAGCTATGGTTATCAAATAATGGCTGCACACTAGAATCACCTGACGGGCTTCACAGCAATCCCAGGAACCCAAACTCAGAAATTCTGATTTAATTGATTTGGTGTGGGGTTTGGGCATAGTTTTATTTATTTTTTAAATTCACCTATAAGTGATTCTAATGGGTAGGCATGATTAGGAATCACAGAATACTATGGGTAAAGTACCATTATAAGAAGTTTTCATTTTCTACTCATTGTAAAGGGAATCCATCTGGAAAGTAAGACATGATCTCATTTGCATTTAAAAGAATAGAGAAAGAGATTTTCTCATTGACCCTAGTTTAGATCTTAGGCTATAAATGAATTTAGAGGGGAATATAATTTGGAAGGCTTTTGTTCCAGGTGAGAGATGATGATGGTTTGTACCAAAGTTGTGTAGTGGTCATCATAGGAGACAGTGGGAATCTGGTTGTGTTTTGGAGGTAGAGCTGGCAGGCTTGGCTGAGGGATCAGATGGATGGGAATATAGAGTAAAGAATGACTCTCAGGATTTTTGGCCTGAGTGTCTGGAGGTGATGGTACCATTAATTAAGATGAAGAAGATGAGGGAGGATGCAGGTGTTCGAGGGGTCATTAGAAATTCAAGTGGAGAGAACTTCCAGCCAAGATGGAGGCGTATGTGGAAACACTGTGCCTCCTCACACAACCAAGTTTAAAGACAACAACGTTTTAGTAATGAAAATGCAACCAAAACACAGAAAATTGAACTGTACAGAAGTTTGACAACAATGAACCATTCAGCCAGACCAGTAAGAGGAGCAGAGTCAGCGGCTGGGAGAGCGGGGTCTCTCAGGAAAAAGCAGCCGCACCGATAGGCAAGCAGGAGGCGGTTGGCAGATCCCAGGTGCAGGGTGGCAACAGGTGGACCCAGTGAGGATGCAAGGCTGCTGGCTGACCATGGTCACACATTCTCGCTCAGATAAACCAGGCAAAAAAATGAACAGTGAGACAGACTGTGTGAACCAGGGCCCCAGTGCCTGGAATTAAAGCCTAAAAGCACCAATTGAAAAATCTTTTGGGGATTGAGGTGCCTAGAGAGGCTCCCAGGCTCACAGAGAGTTTGTTGGAGATACCCACAGGGTTCTGGAGGGTGCACAGGCCCACACACCCAGGAACCAGCACCAGAAGGGCCCAATTTGTTTACAGGAAGTAGCAGAGGGGACTAAAATCCGAGAGAGAGCATAGAAAAAGCACCATTGCCCCTCTCTGACCACACCCCCACATACAGCATCACAAACCAGCCTCGTGGGTTGCCTCGCCCTGGTGAACACCTAGGACTCTGCCCCTCATATGTAACAGGTGCAAACAAACCAAGACATTATGGCTCAAGAGGAATACCTCAAAGCCCCAGAGCCAATACTTTTGAGCAACCAGGAGATAGCCAACTTATCAGATGCACAGTTCAAAACACTGGTGATCAGGATGCTCACAGAACTGATTGATTTTAGTCACAAATTAGAGGAACACATGAAGGCTAAACTAATTGAAATGAAAGGAAATGCACAGGAAACCAATAGTGATGGAAAGGAAACTGGGACTTAAATCAAGGGAGTGGACCAGAAGGAAGAAAAAAATGACCAAACAGAAAAGAATGAAGAAATAGGAATTCAAAAAAATGAGGAGAGGCTTAGGAACCTCGAGGACATCTTTAAATGCTCCAACATTCAAATTATAGGGGTACCAGAAGGGGAAGAGGAAGAGCAAGTAAAAAACTTATTTGAACAAATAATGAAAGAGAACTTTCCCAATCTGGCAAAGGCAATAGACTTCCAGGAAATCCAGGAAGCTCAGAGAGTCCCAAAGAAGTTGGACCCAAGGAGAAACACACCAAGGCACATCACAATTATGTTAGCCAAGATTAAAATGAAGGAGAGAATCCTAGAAGCAGCAAGAGCTAAGGGGACAGTCACCTACAAAGGACTTCCCATCAGACTGTCAGCGGATTTCTCAAAAGAGACCTTATAGGAAAGAAGGGGCTGGAAAGAAGTATTTCAAGTCATGAGAGACAAGGACCTACATCCAAGATTGCTCTATCCAGCAAAGCTTTCATTTAGAATGGAAGGGCAGATCAAGTGCTTCTCAGATAAGATTAGTTTCAAGGAGTTCATCATCACCAAGCCCTTATTATAGGAAATGTTAAAGGGACTTACCTAAGAAAAAGAAGATAGAAAACATGAACAGTGAAAGGACAGCAAACTCACAGTTATTAACAACCACACCTAAAACAAAAGCAAACTAAGTGGACTCCTTAAACAGGAGCAGAGACAGAAATGGAGATGACATGGAAGGTTAGCGACAGGGGAGTGGGAGGAGGAGAATGGAGGAGAAGGTACAGAGAATAAGTAGCATAGACGGTAGGTAGAAAATAGACAGGGCGAGGGCAAGAATAGTATAGGAAATATAGAATCTAAAGAACTTGTGACACATGAACATAAACTAAAGGGGGGGAATGGTGGGAGAAGGGGTGTGCAGGGTGGAGGTGAATGAAGGGGGGGAAGTGGGACAACTGTAATGGCATAATCAATAAAATATATTTAAAAAAAAAGAAAGAAATTCAGGTAGAGGTATAAATAGACTGAATTTGCCATGCAAGTTCAAACCGAGGAGGAAGGTCAGGACTAGAAATATATATATGTGGAAACACTTACTATATCAGGGTAGGCAAAAGTAGATTTACAGTTTGTATAGAAAATGTAATAATTAATAAATAATAATACAAGAATAAACTGTGTTTTACATACTCATAACTGAAGACTTACTTTTGCCCACCTCTGTATATATGGTATTTAAAGCTTGGGTCTGTATAAGATCACTTGCCAAAAGTGTACAGACAAAGAAGATAGCACAAGACAAAATCCTTAACTTAGAATTTGAGTAGAGGAAGAAGAGCCAAAGAAGTAGGGAGAAAGCAAAAGAAAAAAATTAAGAAAGAAAGAGAGAGAGAGAGAAAGAAAGAAAGAAGAAAAGAAAAAAGAAAAAGCCAAGAGAAGAAAGGGTTTTATTAGAAGACAGTGGTCATCTATTTGAAGTTTTACTGGGATTCAAATTAGACCAGGACAGGGACTTGCCCACTGGATTTGAGAAGATGAAGTGATTTATGACATAAATAAAATATGTGTGTGTGTGCGTGTGTGCACACACATATATACATACATATATATACAGAATAAATAAGATATATATGTAATATATATGTGTATATATTATATATATACATATATATGTTAAAGAACACAAGAAAGATGCCCTTACACTACTTGTCTACTGCTACTACTATTATAGCAATTTGATTTTTCAATGTTTATGAAGTCCAATTTAGAATCTTGGCACCTAAGGACAACCTAAGAGCTCTTGCTTTCTTCCTCCAGTCTGAGCCCCAGGAAGAAGATACATTCAACCACATTTTAATCCAGCTGCAACTGCTTCTTACATACCTGTGA